TGGTTTGTCATTCTTGCACGCACAAAGAAATCCATTTTGTTCGCCTAACCAGAAAATAAGTCGCAGTCACGCACCATTTGTTTGGATGCACAGGGCTCGTATGGCGAAGCTCCTGGACATGCTCCTCGTTCCCAGCGTCCTCTCTTTCCCTGTGTCGTCCTCGTTCCCTGCATGACAGAACACGCTCAATGCCTCCTTGCTGGCGTACATAAACAACCAAGCCACACAACCCATGTTCCTCTGCTCCACTCTCGCAACTCTCAACGGTGAGCATGCAAGGCTATCCCTCCCTCCTACCTTGTTTCATCACCACTTCTAGCTCTTGAAATTGGGAATGGTCAACTCCCAACTCCAGCTGCTTGATCTGCGATTTTCTGTTTGTTGCACTTGCAGCTGGGCCCTTGATTCTGGGAATGCGAGCGCCGTCCAACGCGGACGAGCTCTTCGACCTGCTCTCGTTTGCAGCCAGGCGAGCCTTGTCTCGGGCACTCAAGGACATTCCCTCGTGCAGGTACTGAATCGTGCTTCTAACATCCTCCGTCAGCTTGACTGTGATGACATCGTCGCTCCGGAACCCCATAAATTCCCTCCCCGGAATCGCGCATGCTGACATCGTTCTTTCTCTCGCCGACCTTTTCAGGTGCGATGTGGTGCATGACATGGTGAACACAAAATGACCACGCGAACACGCGGACACATAGTGAGCACGACATGTCTTGCTAAGTCGACCTCGTAAAACGGAGTCGCCACTTTCTTGAGTGACATCTTGCCTACGGTATGTTGGGTCCTGAGCAAGTCGTTCGTCTAAAATCTTTGCCGAGCAGCGCCACGTCGCATTTACAGTCTATCTGATAAGATCGTTTACAACAACTCAATACGATCGTCATACTCACAAGCTATCAATAAGATCTAAGATGGTAGTAGATGCTGTTGACTATCTCAGAGGGTAGCAGCATAAGGCCCTAGCTAGGAAGCTGACATAAGATTTCAATTCAAGCCCAGTCGGAAATTTTGTCAGGAGATGATTCAGCAGAAGCAGCACTGCCTATCTCCTTGGGATTGCCATTTCCCTTGGGTTGGTGGCTCAGCTGGCAAACGCGGTTTCCTTGAGTTCGTGTTCTTCTCTTGGCGGGCTGCTTACTGATTGGCTGCTTGCCACTGGCCCTTGGGATTGATGGTGTGAAGTTTCGCAAAAACGCGGAGACTAGAGGATTCGGTGTTGCAGCCCAACTGGTTACCAGCAGGATGTCGACGACAGTGCTCTCGCGTGCGCGAGTGCGACAAGGTCAGGGATACGCGAAGGAGGAGGCACAAATGTTCGCGCGTGCCGACCTAGCCAATCAACTGCACACAGGTGCAGGAGAATGTTGTTGGCCTTGTGGCAAGTCGCACAGGGAGCTGGTCATGTGGTCCAATCGCCTTGCCACATCCTGCCCCACCGAACTCAACCGCCACAGAGCCAGCTGCTGCATTGCTACAAGCTCCTCTTGTGTGCCATTCAAGCCTCGTCCACAACAAGATCGACATTTCGTCGCGCGAGCAGCCACTGTCGCAACTCGTTGACGGCTTTCGCCCGGACCGCTGGACTTTCATTCGAACCACCAACTTGTAACGAGGACTGTCGCACAACGATTTTCGCCAAATTCGGGCACAGCAACGAGGCCTTCGCGATGTCTTCCAGGCCACACACCATCTTCGTCAACACCAGGATCTCGAGGTCTCGATGCATCACAGCTTCGCTGGTAGCGCTGGTGTCGCTAATGAGATTCCCAAGGTTACCACCGACAAGCTCCAGCACCCGCAGAGAGTAGCATTTTCGCAGAGCCATGAGGTCGTCTGTTCCGAGAGCTCCGCAATGGATGCGAAGGCAGGTCAATTCCCGCCACGCAATGACCATGAGGTAAATGGCTTGCTTCGACAGGCTATTCTGGCAGAGACAGGCGAAGTTGCGAATGTGGCGGAAGCCGGATGTGAGGTACCACATGGCCTTGTTCTCCAAGTACGTGAAATTCCCTTGCTTCCCGTCGGAAATGAGCTCCACGCTCTCGACATTACTGCAGTACAAGCTGCAAAACGAAAACAGGAAACGAGGACGATATGTGAGATTCTGAATTGAAGAGAGCAAGGGATACTAACTGCATGGAAAAAACAAAACCAGCGGAACGAAAGAGCGAAACAACGCAAATTATTGAAGCGTGGACTCTGCGATATGACTCAACGCACCTCACAATCCAAAGCACGCTGCAGATTGACGCCTCGTTGCGGCTCGTGTTATCCCGGTCACAGTCGATAACAATTCGTCGCAGAGAATTCCCGCAGGCCATGATGATCGGGTGAAGCACGTGCAGCTCGCAGCGAGGGTCGTCGATGTGCAGCTCCACCAGGTTCGTGCAGCGCGCTGCGAGCTGCTCCACTCCCGGACGCATACTCCCGGGTCCGATCCGAAGCTTGGTCCAGAATATCTGGTTGTAAGAGAGCTCTCGCCACGTCTTGTTGACGCACGCCATGCGGCAGAGGTCCCACGCGGTAGGCTGAGCGAGCTGGAAAATGTGAAGAAGCAAGTCGTCGCCTAAGTTGGAAAGCGACGGCTTTTCTGTCGCAACTACGGGAGGTTCCGGAAGTCCCAGCGTGAGCTCGGTTAGGCAGTCGGACACAGCGTCGTTGGCCCAGGGGGAATTGTCGCTGAGCTCTTCGGAACTGCGGGACTTTTTCGCGGCTTTCGGCGAGTGGAAATCTAGGTTGAAGTTCGTGCTCCAGGGCTCTGCGTCGAACTTCGGAACGCCCATACTCGAAGAAATGGTGGTCGACATCACTGAACTATCCTGGTCGAAGCTGTGGTTAGGCTGACGGCTACGCGCGTGAAGCGGAAAATGATTCCGGGCTGGAGAAGTATAGAAATCGCTCGACGGTGAACGGTGCGGAGAACGTGTTTGAATGAAAGAGCTGATTGTGATGTTGGAGGAAAGGCCCTCTCCATTTGTACGAGCGCCGAGTTCCACCGCTCACCGTTGTGGGCGGCCCTGGGAGCGTGGCTCCTCACGCACCCAAGGCCAAAGTGGGGCAAGGCATGTGCCTCCCGCAGTGCTGGCGGGTGAAGGACCCAGAAGCAATGGCATGGTGGGAGATGATACGATGAGCTGGAGGGTAGATTGTACAGGGGCTTGACAGTTGACACGCTAGGGAGTGACAACCCTAAAAAGGAGGACCAGTGAGGTGGAACCTGCGAAACAGTTGGAAAGTGCAGTGCCTGAGCGCAGAAGCGTGATCCGATCTGCTTTTTAGATCACGGGCTGTTGGATAAGGCTCGTTGGATGGGTGGTCTGCCCAACAACACATGCCCCTTGCCCCGACTTCAACGCGGTGAATCTGCACCCCGAAAGTTTTCTCGCTGGTGTCAGAATGGCACGAGGCTGGGTTGGGCGAGATCCTAAATCGCACGAACCCAGAAAATCTGCAACTTCTATTTGAACGTCGGGTGCAACAGTTACGCGCTGTTGCTCAATTGGCTGGCGAAGTCATAATTTTCACACCGATCCGTCTGTTCAAGGAATCGTTCGTCCTGTTCCAGTTGGGCTCCAGGGTGGATCTCCGTACCCCCAGCTTGTGCTAGCAGGAAGGAACGGTTACAGTTCACATCTGAGGCACCCCACAAAGCTGTACATGTGGCGGAAAATGGATGGACGAAACGCTTCCTCGGTGACACGTGCCACTCGAAGGTCGAGTTCCGCCACATGCCCCCTACAGCTTGGACATGATCCGGTGACACAGCCCTTTCCACAAATAGGCGAACTCCACATCTGCGCCTACACGTACCAACGCTGACCCGCGTGCTAAACGGTAGGCTGCTCCTTCTGCCAAAGAACAGACCTGTTGAAGTGATGTGTAACAGCACCTCACACTAAAGCTTGCTAAGATGTTATAGGATAATGCAAATTACGGGGAAATCCACTATTGGGTATGCATGCAAAGGCAAAGGCCACGCGGGTGGGTGAATGCTCGCACTTCATATATATTGATACAGCATATGTCATCGGATATGAAGAATGGGGTTTCCGAGTGGTGTGCGCCATTGGATTGAAGAATCAATAAATTACCCAAGATTTGATAACCAAATTCCTTACAGCGAGGGTCTCAAGAATCAGAAAACCATATCCAAAGGTTTTGGTTTTGGGTTGACGAACTTTGCGAAACAGTTACAACGCCCAACCAGCACCCCTCAGCGCACCTCGCAATTGCGGAGACCCCCCGAAACCAAAACCTTTGGGTTTGGTTTTTTGCTTCTTGAGACCCTCGCTTTAAGGATATGTGGAGTTTGAGGCAACTAGGTTGCTCCATATGTATAACAGCGCCTTGGTAACCTCTAGTCTACTTGTCGGCATGCCAGAGTTGAAGCAATATTTTTTGTGGAGACGTTCTTAGTGAATATATGATGCCCGAAGGCACCGTTGGATTGGCTTGTTATCCACAGTTGTTGATGCTGATTCGCTGCTGGAAAAGTGGGGCACACGCAAGGCGAGTCGCTCGTCCACGTTCAGCACAGTTGAATGATGCTGACGGTGGCATGAAATCAGCAGCAAGCTCTAAGTGGCAGGAAAACTTTGAGGTCCACAAGCATGCCTTGCCCAAATCCAATCACATCATCTCGAACGTCCGAACCGCCACGTAGTTCAATCGAAGGCTGAGAGTGTTCCTCGCTACCATTTCAAGAATCCTGGTTCGCTCCCGTCGGGAGCGGTGTGCCCTTGGGATTGGGAGAAGTTTCCCATCAACCTCGCGACACGGACAACCCTTCATGTGTTGTGCCATTCCCTTGCCTTGCCCGCTGCCCGAAGGGTCTGGGGCGAGAACTGGGACAATCTTCCCTTGCTTTGCCCTTCCTACAATTCGGCTGCCCGATTTCAGCCAACCTTGATAAATTCGAAACCCAGAATGCATTTTTCTACAGTTGACTGCATATCCGTTCCAGCCAACGGCTCTTTTCTCTATCCCCAAGCCTCGCTCATCCTCCATCTCCTTCAGCTGCCCTCGGGAATCTCTGTTCCAGCAGCGCTCCCTCTCCAAGCTTTCAACAGCCCGGCTTGTCACGCACAAGCGATTATTTCTCTCTCGTCCGCGTGTGATGACAGCTTCTGATGGGTGCTGACTGCGAGTAAAAGTTTTCCATGGCTGTCTGTTAATCTGCTGACTGGGTGCGTCGTGTGAACTGCAAGTGAGTGCACTCCTCCCTTGATTTCCACCAGAAGTCCACCCAGCATCACCACGACACACGACACGACTCTTTGTCACGGACTCACGGCAGCACATATCCCAAGCAATTCGGGAGTCCGTCCAGACCCTTCGGCGTGTCGTCTTTCCCGAACCCGACCACGTGTGCCGGGCTGAGCTCTAGGGCTAGCAAAATAAACCTCCGCGTGCTCCTCCCTTATCTTCGACCACACAATCCCGAAGCCGTTCTTTTCTCTCCTCCGCGGACGAGTGAACCTCAAGCAACAAATTCAGGAAGCGCTGCGCTGCTAACTCGGCTCCCTCTTCGGCGGCTCTTGTTTCGGACCGAGCTCTATCCACGTGTCAGGGAGCTTCGATTAGGACTTTATTCCACTCGTCCTCCTCCTGACGCATGGCAACTCCTGTTCTCGGCAGCAGCAGCAGCAGTTGGTTCGTCCACATGCTCCCAATCGCCGCGAGCCACGCAAGCTACTCTGACCTCGCTCTCGAGCTCCTCGCCTTCGTCGCTCCCCTCTGGCTCGCCGTGCTCGTCGGCGTGATCCTCGGGTGGTCATGGCGGCCGCAGTGGGTCAACTCCCTCGCGTCGGACCCGCGTTCCTCCGCCATCTGGTCGCTCCTCACCGGCGGGCCCTTCAAGGACGCGTGGTCCGCGGGGTGGTCGTGGGGCCAGGCCGTGCTGGACTCGTGCGGCCACGTGCAAGTCCCGGGATTTACGGCAGCGGGAGCCAAGGAGGGAGTTGAGGGAGTTAAGGGCCCCAGGTTTCAGCCAGTAGGGGTGCTCTTCGGAAAAGACTGGAGCGCGCTGAGTGAGAAGGTGCTGCCTTGGCGGGCGGGCGAGAGAGCGGCTGAGAGGGGTGGTGGTTATGGGAAAGTAGCTGCTGGGGAGAGCGATGGTGCGGGCGCGAGGAGGCCGGAAAGTGCGGAGGAGTTTGGCGAACGGAACGGTAGTCGTGTTACTGGTCCCGCGAACGGCGGTGCTGAGAGCCATGCGTCGACTGACGAGTACGACTCTTTCTCTCTCAAGCCGTTAGGAAATCTCCGTCTCCCTTTTTGTCTTCTCATTTCTAGGCTAGTTTCTCCACCCCTCCCCACCCTTACAGTTCCCAGTGCGTCCGACCAGCGTCTGACCCGGTGTCTCTGACCCTTGGCCTATTCCTGGCTTTCGCAGGCCGTCAATTCAGTCGCTGGCGAATGATTCGCTCCCTCCGGCTCTGCGGAAAGGGGGATTCCAGAAAGGCGGGCTGCAGCTGCTGGAGATTGGCCGCGACGTGCACGGGCACGGGCATGGGCATGGGCATGCCAACGGTCACGTCTCTGCGCACGAGAACGGGCATACGCACGGGCAGGGTTCTGAGCATGGGCTTGCGGAGTCGGATATGGAGTTAGTTCTTACCGAGGATGACTTGGAGGAGTTTTGCGCCAAGGTGGAGGGGAAGGACGGCGGGCCGGAGTGGCAGCTGATGATGGAGAAGTCTATAAAGGGGATGCAGTACACCGGCTGGCGGCGGGACCCCGAGGTGAGACTTTTCGTAGCTGTAACGAGTCCGCGCTACGACGCGGATGGGCTCTGGTCCTCACCATTCCGTGGGGTGACCCGGTTGGAGCATTAGCTTTAGAACTGGTGGCGTACCGTTCGTCCATCTCCCATAGTGTGTCGTTGGGGGTCCGCAGCCGCGCAGTGATAGGTTGACGGGCGTCGTTCCTACATTGCAACCCACGGGCTAGACTCACGGAGTAGGCCCGCGGGATACCGCAGCCGCACGCTGACGGGGCCGTGCTCGTCGTTGCGTTGCGCGACTTTCCTCACACCCAGCTCCCCTCGCGTTCCCCTCCTCCCCTTGGTCCTTGCGTTCTCCTAACGCAGTCGCAGACGCAGTCGCACGGCCACGGAGCAGTGCTTGTCGTCGCTCATGCGCGAACTCCTAAATCCGCCTCGCCCCGTCCTCTTCTCCCTGCTGTGCTCCCCTTCCCCGTTCCTTCCCCGTTCCTTCCCCGTTCCTTCCCCGTTTCTTGCGCTCCTGAACCCGATGTTTCTGAATTGCAGCACGGCCCGACGGAGTACCGCAGCCGCACGGTGATGGAGCGGTGCTCGGCGGCGCTCATGCGCGACTTCTTTTGGGACGACGAGTTCCGCGCCGCGTGGGACGACATGCTCGTGCAGGCGCGCACCATCACCGCGTGCGAGCGCACGGGCTTCCAGATCGTTCACTGGGTCCGAAAGGTGCGTCGCTGCCTGCTGCCTGCTTGCCTGCTGCCTGCTGTTTGCTGTTCCCTGAGTGAGGAAGGTTAGAGTGCGCTGGAGGGTGGGACGGCATGCTCGTGCAGGCGCGCACCATCACGGCGTGCGAGCGCACGGGCTCCCAGATCGTTCACTGGGTCCGAAAGGTGCGTCGCTGCTGCCTGCTGTTTGCTGCGTGTTCAAGGTGACCTTCTACTGCACCACCAGGGGTGTGCACCACCGCACACTCCCTCCACTCTTTCGTCTTGTCCCACTCTTTCCCCCATTATTCCGTGCCGTTCTTGGCCCTCGTTATTGCAGTTCCCTTTCTTCTGCAAGGACCGGGACTACGTGATCGCGCGGCGCATCTGGTCGCACGACGACACCTTCTACTGCATCACCAAGGGCGTGCACCACCCCGAGGTGCCCAAGCGCGACAAGCCGCGCCGCGTCGAGGTCTTCTACTCGAGCTGGCGCATCCGCCCCGTTGTTGGCGCTGAGGGGGGCGATGCAGCCGAGGTAATGCTCTTCCACCATGAGGACATGGGCCTGCAGAGGGATATTGCCAAGCTGGGGGTGCGGCAGGGCATGTGGGGCGCGGTGCGCAAGATGGAGCCCGCGATCCGCAAGTACGAGAGGCAGCGGGCCGAGACGGCGCGGCCGTTGTCGCGCTGTGTGTCTATGGCGAACCTGCACACGCCCATCGTGCCATCGCCTGGGAGCAGCCGGGACGGCGAGGAGGACGGGGAGAGGGAGGGCGGGGCGGAAAGCAAGGGACGGCCGCGTGGGGGATTGAAGAAGGGGAAGGGAATGGGGATGCGGAAGTGGGTGAGCTTCTCGGACTTGGCCATGGCCGGGGAGGCGAGGAGGAGGGAGGAGCGGGAGGGCAGGAAAGAGGAGGAAGAGGGGAGTAAGGAGGAGGGGGGGAAGAGGAAGGAGAGGAGGGTTAGAGTGGTGGAGGAAGTGGAGGGGGAGGGGCAGAGTAGCAGTGGCAGGGCGGGGAGTAGCAATGTGGTGGTTGAGAGCGGTTCTGGAAATGTTGGTGAGAGGTCTCCAGGTGAAGGCTCAGCCGTTGGATCTGGAGACAGCAGAGGAAGGCGACGGTCTGGATCGGGCCAGCATGAGAGGAGCGATTCTTGGGATGGGGGCAGTGAGGTGATGGTGAGGGGTGGGAGAGGGGAGGAGAGGAGAGGGAAGAAGGTAGCGACGGTGAGGGTGGGATGGGTGGTGGCGACGACGGCACTGGCTTTTGTCTGTGGCGTGGAGGCGGGGGTGCTGATGAAGCTGGTGCTTGCAGGAGCGGTGCAAAACTTGGCTTCGAGACGTGCTGCTGCTGCGGCGAGGAAGGAGAGATTGCAGAACTAGCTGATGGAAGGGATTAGCTGATCTTGAATACCGTGCATCGCCTTTTGCCCGATTTTGGACTCGATTGCTGGGCAGTCCGTCTTTGCTATGAAGTGATGTGTTTTTTAGCCTTTTTGGAGAAATTTGGTGGTTTCCATTCTTTAGTTGTTAATGCGACCAGTACAGTGAAGTACACTGTTATGTTATCGAGGCTATCTTGCAGAACCCGCTGATCTCCAAAAGAAGCGAGCCCACAAATCTTCGCGCCAAATTCTGACTCCCTCTGCACTCCGCTCGTTCCCCCGTTACCCCCTCCTTCCGCACCACGCCACGCGACAATACTTTCCTGGTTCCCCCACTCCCCCGCCGTCGCAGCTCGCTTGGTTCCCTTTCCATCTCCCCACCCGCGCCCCTTTCCCCCCAAATAGCGCCCCCCGAGCGCCATTTTCCGCATTTGAGCGCGCGCTTGCCAAGCCACACCACGCCGCAACCGCCCCCACCTCCCCATCCACGTAAGCCGCTGCGGCGCCTCTGACTCAAGCAACCATAGCTGCAGAAAGTCTGTTGTGCGCCGTAGGACACGCTCAGCCAGTAAAGCGGGTTGCTTCCCGCGCCGCATTACACTAGAAGCGGCAGTTTTTTTATATCCCACCGCGTTTCGCAGATATGCGTGCACTGTGCTGTCCTGCTGCGCACGCTTTCCCGCTGCTCTTTAGACTCGACCCCAACTTGCCGCGTCTATGCTACTTGCTAAGTATCTGCTGGTAGCAAAAACTTGCTCCCCGAGCATTGCAGAAGTGAGGAGCTGGTGGTAGAAGGATGTGGTATTTAAGTACTAATTTAGGTACTTATTTCGGGGGGAACAGTCGTCTTGGGTAAAAGCTTTAAACCGAAAGACTTGTAGCGTGGCGTGACGTGCCCTGCTTCGTCCATAGCCGAGTCGAGCCGCGAGCATCTCGCTCGAACCCCATTGACTAGACTAAGAGTCCAATCCAAGGCTAAGAGTCCCTGCAACATGCGTAGCGATTGTAGTCGGCAGGCCCAAAGCTAAGAGTCGATGGCCCAATGCGCCGCGAAGAAACGTATTAAATAGCTTAACCAATGATAAGCTCAATGATAAGCTCGGTAACAAAGTTAGGAGCAAGCCTATCAAGCCTCACTAACAAGCTTAACCAGCAAGCCTAAAGCGAATCATTTTTTAGGCGACTCAAACGTCAGCCTAAAGCGAATCATGGTGGCGTCTGAGGCAGCACGAAACGATACTGCCGGGTCGGCAGCATCTGGCGCCGCACTTGTCGCAGCGACCAGCGCTGGTGGCGGCTCGTCAGCGACCAGCGCCTCCACCGGCGGCGGCTTGACCGCGCAGGATGACGTTACCGTTCTCGAGGTACCGCAGCCACGTGGCACTCTTCCACTGGTTGCCTTCGCTTAGTGCTAGTTAACAGCTTGCGCGCCGTTCCTCTTCTGTCGTTCACCTTTTCGCCCCCCCTCCCCTCCCCCCCCTCCCCCTCCTCCCCCTTTCCTTGCAACCCCCTCCCTCGTTCATCCATTTTTTCGGGCGCTGCAAAAACTGCAAAACGAAAGCCCTTCCTTCCCTTCCCCCCCCCGCGGCTCGTTGCGTACCTCAGCCGCAGGCTCGGGCGTGGATCGAGCGTTGCTTGGATCGGCAGCTTCCGTCGGACCGCTCACTTCCGGATATCCTGCAGGATGGGCACATACTGTGAGTGAGCATGGCACGTGCTGTGAGTGAGCATGGCACGTGCTGTGAGTGAGCATGGCACGTGCTGTGAGTGAGCATGGCACGTGCTGTGAGTGAGCATGGCACGTGCTGTGAGTGCTGCTATGGCGCATGCGCGCACTCACTCCAGCACTCAACCGTAGCTTCGTCCATTTCCTTTTTCCGCTCACCCTTATCACACCCCACCCGTTAATCCCCCCCCTCCCTTTCCCTCTTGCCCACCCCCCTTGCCCTGTCCCCCCATCGCCCTCTCCCCTTCCCCTTCCCCTTCCCCTTCCCCCTTCCCCCCTTCCCCCCTTCCCCTTCCCCTTCCCCCTTCCCCCCTTCCCCCCATCCCCCCGCTTCCCCTCCCCCAGCCTGGAGGTGGGGCAGGCGGCTCGGCGAGCTGCAAGGGGGTGGCTCGTTATGGGAAAGGCGGGGGGAGGGGGGGAGGGAGGAGGGGCGCTTGGGGGGAAGTCGGGGGGATCTTTTGCGCGATGGGGAGGGGGAAAGGGCGGCAGCGGGGCGGGATTGAAGGATGGGGAGGAACTGGAGGGGGAGGAGGGGGAAGGGGAGGCGGAGCCGGGGGAGGGGGGATCGCCCCCCGCGGAAGTGGGGCGGAACATGGCGTTTTGGCGCGCGTGTGTGAAAGTAGAGATGTTCCTCAAGGTGCCTATAACGGGGGGAGGAAGGGAGGTGGGGAGGGGGGGGAGGAGGCATGGGGAGAATCGTGGGGGGAGAGGGGAGGGGAAAGGAGTGGGATTGGGGTGGGGGGGAGGCAGAAGTGCGGGGTGGGGGGAGCTGGGAGGGGGTAACCTTCGAAGGTTGGGAAGGGTGAGGAAAGCACCTAGCAGCGACTGCAAGCATTGCAGGCAGCCAGTGCCCTTTAAAGCCCCTGGAAACCGATCTATTCTTTTCTAGCGCCCAACTAGGCCCTTCCCTTTTCTTCCCTCCCCTTCCCTTCTCTTGTCCCCTGCACCCCCCCCACCTACCCACCCACCCAAGCCTGTAGTTGTGCGGCCCCTCTCCTCCCCTCAACCCAGTGCAAATCTGCGGTTTTTCTTGATCCAAAGAAATGCATTCGCCCTCCTCCTCTCTTCCCCCCCCCCCTCCCCCCCTCTCCCCAACTTCCCCTTCGCCCCCTCCCCATTCCCCTGCCGCCCCGCGCAGATGTGCCGCAGCATCGGGCTGTACGACGTGAACGTGTTCATGCCCGCGGATCTGGTGGAGAGGCGCGACCTGAGGCGGGTGTATCTGTGCCTGCGCACGCTCAGCAAGCGAACCATCGGGCTCAAAGTGAGGCCATGCAGTGAAGCGAAGTCAGATTCATACATCGAGTCAAGAAAGGGAAGTCAGTCGAGATACGCGAACCAGTTGAGAGACGAAGTCTGGAAGTTAACATGGTAGGAATCTAGGTGGCTGAGGGAGCGATTTATTTTTCCACCGCCTCTCCAGTGACTCCTTTTTCCAAACCCCCCCCCCCCCCCCCCCCCCCCCCCCTTGGGGACCTCCAATCAGGACTTTGATGGGAACATGGTGACTGCCACGTCAGCCACCCGCCACCGGCTCATGTCGTCCGTTTCCAACACCATCCGGCACACCACGGCTGCTCTCTCCCCCTCCCCCTCCTTCTCCTCTCACTCCAAAACAGCTCCAGCGCCACCCTCCCCTGCCCTACCTTCTTCAGCTAAACCCTCCCCAGCTCTGCCCTCCCCAGCTCTGCCCTCCCCAGCCTTGCCCTCCCCAGCTGCTCTCGCCTCCTCTGTCTCTCAATCAGCTACAGTAGCTGCTGCACACTCCCCAGCTGCACCCTCCCCAGCTGCACCCTCCCCAGCTGCACCCTCCCCAGCTGCACCCTCCCCAGCTGCACCCTCCCCAGCCGCACCCTCCCCAGCTGCACCCTCCCCAGCCGCACCCTCCCCAGCCGCACCCTCCCCAGCTGCACCCTCCCCAGCTACACCCTCCCCAGCTATACCCCCTTCCAAGTCGGTCCCTCCGTCCCCAGCTCTACCCTCCCTAGTTCCCATCTCCCCAGCAACAGCCGTACCCTCCCCAGCAGAAGCACCACCCTCCCCTCGAGTTGGTGCCCCTCTGACCTTGCCCTACTCAGCTCTTCACCTCCCTGCTACCCCTGCTGCTCCTGTTACTGCTGTTGCTCCTGCTGCTGCTTTTGCTACTGCTGCTGCCGTTGCTCCTGCTCCTACTCCTGCTCCTGTTGCCCCTCCGGCGTCTCCTCCTCCTCCTGATGCTGCTCCTGCTTACAGCGCTGCTACCATCACTGCTGTCAGTGCTGCTGGGGGGACTCGTCAAAGCAGCAGCAGGGAAAGGGAGGCCAGCAGACTAGCAGCAGCACCAGCACCAGCACCAGCACCAGCAGCAGCACCAGCAGTACCAACACCAGCAGCACCAGCACCAGCAACGCTGCCACCAGCAGCAAGTTACTGGAACCCTGTGCTTCGTCCCTCCCCACCCTCTGCTTCCCCACCCTCTCCCACCCGCCCCTCTCCCTCCCTCAGCCCCTCTGCTCTGCCCGAGCCGGATCAGCTCCTGCCCATCCCCCCCTTCCCTTCTGCCTCCTCTCTCGCCTCGTCTGTCACCTCATCCCGCTCCTTCACCACAGCCACCAGCGCTTCTACCTCCGCCACTGTTGCTACCACTGTTACCACTGCTACAGCTGCTACAGCTGCCACTGCTGCTACAGCCACCGCTGCAGCAGCTGCTACAGCAGGGCTCGCAGCAGCGGATCGCAGCATTCCCCGGTGGTGGGCGCCCGCCTACCACCGGCCGCACAGCCCCTCCCGCCGCTTCGCCCACGCCTCGTCTGTTACTGCGTGGCAAGCTAGCAGTGCTGCCGCTGCTGCTGCTACTGCTACTGGTGTTCCTACTGATGCTGCTGCTGCGGCTACTGCTGATGCTGCCACTCTTCCGGCTGCTGGTTTTGGTACAGGTCGGGCGGGTCGGCTGCCGAACCTGCCATCGTGGCTCGGCTCGGAGCAGCAGGCGGTGCTTCGGTCACGGTCCCCGGCTCGGGTGCCTCAGTGGGTGGTGAGGGAAGGGGGAGGGCCGGCAGAGGCTATCCGGGGGAGAAGATCGGCTTCGGTCACGGCGATGCAAAGGGTAGGTTATGCGGTTTAATGCGGTGTGATGCCGTCTGATGCGGTGTCCATTTCTTCTTGCTCCACATTTTGACCCTCTTGTCCTCTCCCCATCTCACATCTTCCCCCCCCACTTCTCTCCCCTCCTTCCGCCCCCCACCCACACAGCCACCGCTAACCCCCCGCACACACGTCTCCCCCCTCCGCTCCTTCTCCCCTACCCCCACCACTCTGCACCCATCGGAACCGGAGTCTCTCCCTGAAACAAGCACTGTGGGAAGGGGAGGAGGGGATATGGGGCAACTGGTGGGAGAGCAACAACGACAGGATGGGCTATTAGTAGAGCAGCAGGAGGAGGAGGGGAGGTGGCTGGGGGCACGCAAGTGGCAGATGCTAGCAGCAGCAGGGGCGGCGGTGCTGGTGGGAGGAGCGGTGGTGATGGCAACTCAGCGGCATCAACGGCTCACAGCGGCCGGGGCGAGCAGTGATCGCGAGCTGGAGATGCTGCGAAGGAGGAGGAGAGGGGAGGTTAGGGGAGGAGTGGGAGGACCAGCAGGGGTGGCTGCTGGCATTGGGAGAGGTAGAGGGAAGAGGGAAGGGGCAGCAGAGGCAGGGGGGAGCATTGATGCACAGGCCGCTGGCAAGTTGAAAGATTCTGCACTGTTGGGATCAGCAAAGGTGGAACCCGAGGGGGGGTTGTCCCACTGGCTATCGGTTCTGCCGGCCGGCGCAGAGCTCTCTCAAGAGCTGTTCGACGAGAGGTAAAGCGGTGCCAGGCAGTGACAAGCGGTGATGAGATGTAGCGCCGTTTTGGGCCTTGGGTGTTGTTAACGGTGATCAGGATATACGGCCGAACAGGTGCCGTGGCTGTGGTTACAGCCATAGCTCTCGCTCAGTACTGATGTCTCATTTTGTTTCCTTCTCCCCTTGCGTCAGGTTTAAAAAGCTCGAGCAGGAATTGAAGGAAGGAACTCATTGTCTCTTCACTCTCTCTTCTCCCCTTGCTTCAGGTTTAAGGAGCTCGAGAAGGAGGCAATAGAGGTGGAGGAGGAGTTCTTGCGCTGTCTGGGGCCAGCTGATAACGAGTACGGGGACAACGAGGAGGAGGAGGAGGAGATGATGTCGTTCATCACTGCTGTCACGCGCACACCAGCTCCTGCTCCGGCTAAGACAACCGCAGCAGTGCCAGCAGGAGCAGTGACAGGATCAGCAGCAAGACCCGCAGCATGCACAAGAGGCACAGCAAGAGCGGAATTAGGTGCAGGCACAAGAGGCACACGCTTGCTACCTGAACCCAGTCCTGGGGGCCACACCACCACAGCTGGTGGGAAGGCGAGTGGTGAGCTGCTTGACAAGTGGGCGCCGTTTGATGAAGCACACCTGACCATCGACCCATTCAAGGGGAGGAATGGTGCATGCGAGCGAGGCACCACCAACCGATCCAGCAGTAATGGTGGCGATAAGAGTGGTGGTAACGGTGGTGGGCAGAGATTCTCAAGCCCTCCCAGGAAGGTGTCTGGGCAGCAACCTGTGCCGGATCTATTTATTCTGAGAGCCACCCAGGAGAGTGCCAGCAGTCCGCGTTCGGTTAAGAGCAGCAGCAGGCACACTGCAACCGCTGCCAGTGCGTGTGACCGCAACGCCACCCGTGCTCCCCTGAACTCCACTCACCAGTCTCGCGCCACACCTGCAACACCTGCACCGGCTACCAGGCCAGCTGTAGCAGCAGCAGGGACGGCTGTAGCCCCGAGGCCCGCTGTTGCAGCAGCGCAAGAGGCAGCCACTGCTGTAGGAGCCGGCGCTGCAGCAGCAGGGGCACGCAGGCGAGTGGCGTTCCGAATATCTGAAGAAGTGGCCAATGATCCAACCTTAAAGCCACTCGTCAAGACGACGACGGCCAGTGGTGGTAGGGGAAGTGCTGCAACTGGTAATGCGATGAAGGCTGGGAATGCGCCTACTGGTAGTAACCAGTCCGCTGGTAGGACCAAAGGGATGAGGGTGTACGAGGTGCAACCGGGGGAGACGCTTTCTGGGATCGCAGTGAGAGAGGGGCGCTCTGTAGCAGACATCATGAGGGCCAACCCCCACATAGCCTCTCCGAATTGTATCTATGCACGAGACCGCCTGGTGCTCTAAATGGCACCGGCATTTGTGAACACCTCCTGCAGTAGTCCGCTTTCGTAACTGGGTTAGTCAGCTTGCCTCTTCTCTCCGCATTGTGTAACGCACAACCACGATGTGCAATAAAGGAGATAAACTTGTGAAGTCTTGTGAGAAAACACACTATCATGCACTAAAGCAAATACCTAAGAGCATGTACCTACAAGCCTCATATCAGACTCGCCCTTATCAGACTCCTACATTCGCTTGAGTGATGAGAGTTCCAAGCGTTGAACAGTTATGTTGGGCTGAGAAAAAGCCCTTAGGATCTTTTGCAGAGACTAAGTCCCAGCTTGTAGAGACTTGAGACTTGGAGTAGTGCAGCGGAAGTTGAGGCAGTTGAACCCTTGTACTAGTATGTGAGAACAAGTGATTGATTAAAGAAACAAGCATACAGCAATATATAGAAGATAAGAAAGCAGTTGTAGAATACAGTTACAGGAACGGTTTATCGAGTCGCACAGCGACTCGATTGCCGCTTCGGTTACCATCCGTGATGTTGTAACGGTCAGTCGCAACCTCCAGTTGCGACCTTTCGAGTCCTTTCGCATTCTTTGTCCGCCCCCTCGTGTAACCTCCGTTGACTCGCGTGCTCCCCTGTAATCTTCCTCGAGTACAGTGTTACACTTCAGAAACGCTTAAGTCCTTGAGATATTTCCAACACTCCCCTTCGTTTCTGGAGTGCTGGAGTGTTCAGATCCGGTGACGTTTGTTTGCCCGGTTAGGAGCATGCAGTAGTCGAATTTTGCTTTCGCCAATTTCTTCGTCAGATAATCTGCGGCCATTTCTGTCGTCGGGCAGTAACTGAGTTGAAGTCTCCCCTTCGCGATTTCATCCTTGACGAAGAAGTACCGCAGGGCGATGTGCTTGGTTCGGTTGGCGAAGCCGTCCTTGTTCGCGATTTTGATCGCAGATTGGTTGTCGCAGAGGAGTGAGAAGGCGGGCAAGGTCGCGATCTTCGCTTCTTCGAGTAACTCTCGTAGGTAGAGTCCTTCCTTGGTCGCAGTACAAAGGGCGATATACTCTGCTTCAGCCGAGGATAGTGCGATTAACTCCTGCTTGCTCGACTGCCAGGAGATAGTTCCGATAGGTTCTAGTCGGTAGATGTAGCCCGTCCTAGACCGTCGATTTTCGCTGTCTCCCGCGTGGTCGGCGTCGACGTATCCGAGTAGTTGTACGGACGGTGTTGTTGTCTTGCTGTAGGTGAGCCCGATCGTCGGCGTGGAGACGAAGTAGAGTAGCGCTCGATTGAGTTCTTCGAGATCTTCCTGTTGCGGCTGCTTCAGATGTGTCGCCAGCTGACTCGCACTATAGGATAGGTCGGGTCGGCAGGTTACTGCTGCGAATAGTAGGCAGCCGAGCTTCTGTTGATACTCCTGGATTTGTTTCGCGGGGAGTTTTGTGGAGGCGCTACTGTTGTTCCCGTAGCGGTAGGGAGTTGGGACCGCAGTCGGTGCTAGACCGAATTTCTTCGCGACGGTGCTTGAGTACTTTCCAGCGTGTAGGTAGAACGCCGTGTCGTCTTCGACGATGTTCAGTCCTAGGTACTGAGTAACTTCGTCGGACACCGTGAGAGTTAAATCTTCTTTCAGCTCCCCTTCGAACCAGGTGGCGATGTCGATAGTGGAGCCGATGTAGAGCAGGTCGTCGACGTAGACGATGAGCAGAACATAATCTCTTCCCTTCTGCAGTCGGTACATCCCTTGGTCATGCGGTAATTGTAGGAAGCCGATCTTTGCGAGACGGCCGTGGAGATGCTGCTGCCAGAGCCGCGGGGCTTGCTTGATCCCGTATAGGGATTTTGTCAGTCGGCATATTTTCGTGGGATCGTTGATGAATCCGTGGGGTTGTTCGACGAAGATCTCAGCGTCCACAGGTGCGTATAGGAATGCATTCGCGACATCGATTTGGCGTAGTGGCAGTTTTTTTCGTGGCCGCGACGGCGAGTAGGATGCGTAATGAGGTGTGACGGGAGACTGGAGCGAAGGTTTCTGTGTAGTCGGCTCCGTATCGTTGGTCGAAGCCTCGTACGACCCATCGAGCTTTGAATCGTTCGATGGAACCGTCTGAGTTGGTCTTGATGCGGTACACCCATTTCCCCGAGAGAACGTTTTTTCCGTTGATGCTCGTTGCAGGTACCAGTTTCCATGTTTCTCGGTCTTGCAGAGCTTTTAACTCCTTTTCCATTGCTTCCTTCCATCTTGCCTTATGTTCCCCCCCCAGAGCCTGCGACAACGTTGAAGGCTCTCGCGGAGAAGGCGGCGGCGGATTCTGGACGGAGACCCAGAGGCCTAGAATCTGGAGTCCCGTGGGCGTGTGTCGAGGGGAATTTTCATTCCCGGAATAAGCTGCTTCGTCACCGTCTTCGGGGTCAGGTAAGAAATTGGGGCCGATGCGTTCCGAAATATTCGTGTCGACGGGGTGAGGTGTAGCGTAACCTTGGTCGGCGAAGTGGTAAAAGGTGTCGAGGTTGTTGCTATCGAGGGGATTTTCTTCATCGAGTGGAACAGGTACGGAACAGAATGGGAGTGGTCCGGCAGCTTCCGAGGCTCCAGGTAAAGAAGTCGTGTCCGTTGAACGGTGAGGATGTTTGTAACTTGATGACGTGTGAGAATTGAGCTTGAAGACTGAGAATCTCGTTTGGTGTTTGTTGTGATGCAGCTGCTGTTGGTTGGGCGCGGGGCGGCATGAACTCGAACGTCCCCGGTGAAGAATGATAAGGCGCAAAGGTAGGTGCTTGGTTGTGTCGCCCGAAGGATGAGTTGTCGAGGCTCATCGGCGCTAATCCCATGTTTCCTCCATTGCTCTGTGTTGAATGCGCAGGTGTCCTTGTCTGCTGTTGCTGGTCGAAGTGTGACATGAAGCTGAAGAATCTCTCCATGAGATTCGGGTCCACACTTGAAGAGGGAGACGGAGTCACCATCTCTGGTACTCTTCCTGTTGTTTCTTGAGCAGTCCCGGTCTCTGTCTGCAATCCTGAGGTGTGCAGACCAGAGTTGCCGTGTTGAGTTTCTTGGCCGCTGGGTGAGCCCGTAGAGGCTTTCTTGCCCTTGCTGTCCATGTCTTGTAATCAATGAAGTCGTTGAATTGAGTTGAGTTGCAGTTTGTTGATGGAGCGTAGTTGCTGGGAGTTTGATCTCTGACCAGCTCTCATACCATGTTGGGCTGAGAAAAAGCCCTTAGGATCTTTTGCAGAGACTAAGTCCCAGCTTGTAGAGACTTGAGACTTGGAGTAGTGCAGCGGAAGTTGAGGCAGTTGAACCCTTGTACTAGTATGTGAGAACAAGTGATTGATTAAAGAAACAAGCATACAGCAATATATAGAAGATAAGAAAGCAGTTGTAGAATACAGTTACAGGAACGGTTTATCGAGTCGCACAGCGACTCGATTGCCGCTTCGGTTACCATCCGTGATGTTGTAACGGTCAGTCGCAACCTCCAGTTGCGACCTTTCGAGTCCTTTCGCATTCTTTGTCCGCCCCCTCGTGTAACCTCCGTTGACTCGCGTGCTCCCCTGTAATCTTCCTCGAGTACAGTGTTACACTTCAGAAACGCTTAAGTCCTTGAGATATTTCCAACAAGTTATACCGCATTAAACCGATTCGCGTCAAACTCGCACTACACATTGATGCGCGAGACTGATAAGAGGTCTTCTGACGCTCTTGCATGCACTCATCGCCTCTCTGCAATGCATGCAATTTACTGCACCAGTTAAAGCAGAAACTGCTGCCAAAGGTCCCAGCAGAGGCTATTCCGCGAATGCAGCAGAAAACAAAAGAGGAACAGGAATTGAGTGGGTCAAGACCAGGGCTCTGGCTCTGGCTGAGTGAATCACCCCTAGGTCTTTCTGGTCAGATGCAAGCCGGATGTGTCACTCGGCCGAGGGGTGATTCACTCGGCCAAGGGGTGATTCACTCGGCCAATGGGTGATTCACTCGGCCAGGGGTGATTCACTCGGCCATGGGTTGATTCACTCATGGGTGATGCTAGGTGATGATGGGTGATGGGTGATGCTGGGTGCTGGGTGTTGGGTGATGCTGGGTGATGATATCACGTTTAGTCCCACACCTGGTCGCACAGCTCGTCCCATAGGTGGTCTCACAGCTGCCCTCACAACTAGTCTCACAGCTTGTCTAATAGCTGGTCTCATTACTGGTCTCACAGCTGGTCTCACAGCTGGTCCCACTGCTGGTCTCACAGCTGATCGCACAGCTGGTCTCACTGCTAGTCTCACAGCCGGTCTCACAACTGTCTTAGAATAACGCAATGGACTAGAATGAGTGCTACAGGGTGGTTTTGTCATAAGGAGTTGTACTCTCTATGAGCATGCACCTATCTAGCCTATAACATATACAAATATATGTGGACACACCCCCTAAGCTAGACAAGGGGCAAAGACTAGCAAGATACACGCAACTCAGGATGTCACTACAAGTCCAACCTCTGAGGCAAGGGTCTGAAGTCCAGTCAGCGCGAGTACAAAGGAAACGAGTCACCCTGTGCGGCACTACTAGTCCAGCCACTGGGACAAGGGCCACAAGGCCAGTCAAGATAATAGAAGAAGCGATACACAATCAAGGTCCTAGCAAGTGAGAAGCTACAAGAACTAGACCAACTTGTACACAGTGCGACTGATGATCTTAAGGCGCAAGCGCCTTCGTAAATATATCAGCTGTATTGGCACCAGAGGCCAAGTGAACTACGCGGGTCTGGCGACGCTGCTGTAGCTCGCGCAGGAGGAAGTACCGCAACTGGATGTGCTTCGCTCTACCCTCCAGTCGAGTCTCCTGGCACAGGACGATCATGACCCTGTTGTCAGCGTACAGGACCAGGGCAGAGCTAGGCCACTCACCTAAGTCTGTGTGCAAGAAAGTTAGCCAACGGAGCTCCTGTGCCGCCATGGCACCAGCGCAGATCTCCGCCTCACAACTAGACTGGGCAACAGACAAGGAGCGAGTGGACCTCCACGAGATGACGCCTGCAGTAAGGCTAAAGCAATCGCCCTGGGAGGACCTAAGTGTCTCAGCGTCGTCTGCCCACGAAGCGTCTATGTGCGCTATAAGGACCACTGCCCTACGTCCTCCGAGCAATAGCCCCATGCCCAATGTACTTGCTAAATAACGCAAAACCCTCTTAGCGGCCGACCAGTGCTGTGGTCAGTGTCTGCCCGTGGCCACAAAGCGAATCAGGATGCTGAGAGGGTATGCGAGATCTGGACGAGTGCAAGTCATCAGGTACATGAGGCAACCCATCAGCTCTGTGTAAGAACCATTAGGCTCTACAGACTCCTAAAATACTTGAGTCGAGAGCCTATGAACTACTGACAGATGTGTGGGCTGTGCGGAGGAGAACTGAAGATCGAACCTCTGAAGGACCTGGCGCACCAAGTGTGACTGTGTAAAAATGAAGGTGCGCGCTGCTCTGTCCTTGGAGATCTGCAGGCCAAGGTAGCGACGCAACTCTCCTAGGTCATTGCAAGTGAGTCTCCTCAGAAGCTCAGCCTTCACAGAGGCTAGTGCGTCTCGGTCTGCACTAACGAAGTCAAGGTCGTCTCACATCTGGTCTCACAGCTGGTCTCATTGTTGGTCTCGCAGCTGGTCACACAGCTGGTCTCACAGGTGGTCTCACAACTGGTCTCACAGCTAGTCTCACAGCCGGTCTCACAGCTGGTCTCCCAGCTGGTCTCACTACTGGTCTAACAGCTCTGGTCTCACTGCTGGGCTCACAGCCGGTCTCACAGCCGGTCTCACAACTGGTCGCACACCTGGTCTCACTACTGGTCTCACAGCTAGTCTCACTGCTGGGCTCACAGCTAGTTTCACAGCTGGTCTTACAGTTGGTCGCACAGCTGGACTCGCTGCTGGTCTCACTGCTGGTCTCACAACTGGTCTCACTGCTGGTCTTACAACTAGTCTCACAGCTGGTCCCACGGCTGGTCTCAAAGCTGGTCTCACAGCTGGTCTCACAGATAGTCTTACAGCTAGTGACACTGCTAGTCTCACAGCTGGTCTCATTGCTGGTCTCACAGCCGGTCTCACAGCTGGTCTCATAGCTGGTCTCACAGCTGGTCTCACAGCTGGTCTCACAGCTGGTCTCACAGCTGCTCTCACAGCTGGTCTCACACCTGGTCTCACACCTGGTCTCACTGCTGGTCTCACAGCTGGTCTCACAACTGGTCTCACAGCTGGTCTCACAGCTGGTCTCAGAGCTGGTCTCACAGCTGGTCAGAGGTACGTGGTAAAACAAGCAAAAGATACGTGCATGAAAATTGGAATTTTCAAAGAAATGACTCTGTTTGCGAGAAGCAAAAGCGATAACGAGAATGCATCTTGTGAAACACTGTGCAAGGCCCAACTAAAAGAGAAAAGACGATGGTAGCACACGGCACCAGGGCATGGAGCTAGCATGCGAGGGGGACTAGGTAAGAGAGGGACGCGGGCATGAGGATGATTGCGTTTCTAAGCCCCTTCAACTCTAGTATGACCCCTTCCGCCCCAGTGCCATGCGCTACCATCGCCATGCGCTACCATTGCCATGCGCCCATCAAACCAAAACGAGCTTTTGATCCCCATTTTTAGGACGAGCAAAGCCAGCAATGATGGAAGGAATATGCAAGCATCAAGTGGAAGCAAGCAATCCTTGTCTGAGTGAATTGAAGATTAGCAAGAGATGAGGGGGCTTAGCCGAGTGGTCGTGAGGCGAGCTCCATGGCAGCAGCACGTGCTCCCTCCAGCAACACCCAACAGCAGCACTCCTGGCAGCAGCACTCCTGGCAACAGCACTCCCGGCAGCAGCACTCCCGGCAGCAGCACTCCCGGCAGCAGCACTCCCGGCAGCAGCACTCCCGGCAGCAGCACTCCCGGCAGCAGCACTCCCTGCAGCAGCACTCCCGGCAGCAGCACTCCCAGCAGCAGCACTCCCGGCAGCGGCACTCCCGGCAGCAGCACTCCCGGCAGCAGCACTCCTGGCAGCAGCACTCCCGGCAGCAGCACCCACAACCAATTTTGATCCCAATTCTTAGGACGAGCAAAGCGAGCAATTATGGAAGGAATAAGCAAGCAGCGTAAGGGAAAATGAAGACAGGAAAGGGATCAGAGGGAACTTGGCCGTAGGGGTGGCAGTTGCCAGGTGAGGGCACGTGCTCCCAGCAGGTGGTGGCCATCGTCTGTGGTGCTGCCCGGTGCTGCAGCCCACCAGCAACACTCCCCGCAGCAGCACGCCAAGGGGAGTGCAGTGGTCAGCAGGGCGAGCAGGGGACAGTCACAGCCTGGTGACTGCCTGCCGTGCGCCATCCCACTGCTGCCCTCCCTGAACTCACGGGGCACACCACTTGGCAGGGGCTGCCCACAGTTGCAGGTCCTGCATGGGAGGGGCAGAGGGAGGGAAGGCAGGTGGGGGGAGAGGAAGGGGCAGGTGAAGGAGAGAGGCAGGGGGACTGAGTTCTGAAGCGAATGAGATTGAGAGGAACGACAAACGAGACAGAGATAAAAGAATGAGCACAAAAAATAAAGTTTTCACCCTGGTTGTTGCTGGATTGTCGGTCTTGAATGATCGGTCTTGCATTGCCGCTGTTGGAGTGTTGCAGGAGCAGTTGGAGCGAGTGGGTGTGTTGGTGGCTGCAGGTCTCACCAGGGACCATACCAACTTACAGTGAGTGTCTACCTCGCAGCCACCATGCTCACATCATGGCGTTTGCCTCCATCACCTGGGGAGGGTCCCGTCGTGAGAGCACTGACAGCCAGAGGAGGAGGCGTGACAGATGAGAGGAGGAGGGGAGCAGGAGGGGTGTGAAGGAGCGTGTGCAGCGCGCTCCTCCTCCCCGTGGGTGCTCCCAGCTGCACTCCCTCCAACCGCACTCCCTCCAGCCGCACTCCCTTCAGCCGCACTCCCTCCAGCAGCACTCCCCGCAGCGGCACCCACAAGCCTTCAGCGCGAGGGGGAGTGCAGTGGTCAGCAGGGCATGCAGGGGGCAATCACACCGCTGTGACTGCCTGTCGTGCGTCATCCCACTGCCCTCCCACTCCGGCTCTGCAGCTAACAGTCCCTTGGGCCTGGTACAAGGGAATGGTGAGGGGAAAAAAAAGCACTTGGGGAAGGAGTTGCAGAAAGTTAGGCCAACGCATGCCAAGCCAAAGGTACGTGGTAAAACAAGCAAAAGATACGTGCATGAAAATTGAAATATTCAAAGAAATGACGCTGTTTGCGAGAAGCAAAAGCGATAACGAGAATGCATCTTGTGAAACACTGTGCAAGGCCCAACTAAAAGAGAAAAGACGATGGTAGCACACGGCACCAGGGCATGGAGCTAGCATGCGAGGAGGACTAGGTAAGAGAGGGACGCGGGCATGAGGATGAATGCGTTTCTAAGCCCCTTCAACTCTAGTATGACCCCTTCCGCCCATCAACCCAAAACGAGCTTTTGATCCCCATTTTTAGGACGAGCAAAGCCAGCAATGATGGAAGGAATAAGCAAGCATTAATGGGAAGCAATTGTTGAAGATAGGCAACGGATGAGAAGACTTAGCCGTAATGGTGGCTGCAGCACGTGCTCCCTCCAGCAGCACCCCCAACAGCAGAACTCCCCACAGCAGCACTCCCAGCAGCAGCACTCCCGACAGCAGCACTCCCAGCAGCACTCTCGTGCGGGTCGTCGGCATCGTCGCATGCGCATCGTCGGCATCGTCGCGCGCGGGTCGTTGCCGTCGTCGCGCAACGGTCATCGCCATCGTCGCGCGCCGGTCGTCGCGTTGCAATCGTCACGTGCGGGTCATCGCCATCGTCGCATGCGGGTCGTCGAGTCGCAATCGTCGCGTGCGGGTCGTCGCAGTCGTCGCGTGCGGGTCGTCACCGTCGTCGCACGCGGGTCGTCGCCATCGCAGCGCAAGGCTCGTCGCCATCGCCGCTCCTTCGCTGGTCAAAGTTCATAGCTCGCCGCTCGCCACTCGCCGCTCGCCGCTCGCCGCTCGTCGCTCGCAGCTCGCAGCTCGTCACAAGCCGTTCGCGGCTCTCCCGTTCAAAGCTTACGGCTTTCCGCTCGTCGCTCGCAGCTCTTCACAAGCCGTTCGCCGTTCGCCATTCACCATTCGCCGCTCTCCCGTTCGCCACTCGGTGCTCTTCACTCGTCGTCTGGCCGTCAGGTGAGACGCCGTTTGACTCGCGTGGTGTTCGCCGTGCTCGAAGATCGACCGTCCATGTATGCGCGGTTTACACCGTTGCTGCTCGATCTTTCAAGCTCAACCGTCCGGCGAGTTGCGCCGTTGCCGCGAAAGCACTCGCGTGAACTAGAGCCGTGAAGAACCGTCAGCGGTGAAGCGCGGTGAAGCCGTGAAGTACTGTCAACAGCAGGGAGACTAGGTTTCTCAGCTAAGAAGTATCAAAGTGTCAGCCTAGGAAGCTTGCTGATGTGTCAGAACAGTCTAATATGAAGCTAAGTAAGCGGCAAATCAACCGAATAACGACAAGCTGGCTCAACTACCCGGATTCTCTCCACCATACTAAGGGAAAGACGGATGCTTCGACCAGACCGCATTCCCGAACGGAATAAGTAAGCCATAAATAACCGGTAAATTCTCAGCCTATAGGAATCTCAGATTCTCACCATATGGGACAGGACTAGCGGGATCTGCCATGAATCTGATGGCTATTTGACGGAAGGATATTTGACGGCAGCTGTGGCGAAATAAGCGTTAGAATCCTTAGTCAACAAGCTAGCGGTACGGAATAAGCGTAGTCTGCGCTCATGCTGAGGTAATCGACGATGCATGGAGTCAAGGGACGCCATGAATGTGAGAAATTCAATTTCTCGAACCTTGGGAATTTCGAATTTCCATTCCGGAGAGCACAACGGTAGCTTCGGGTGAGGAGGAGCACGAGGAGGAAGGGGAAGTCCCTCGAGCCCCAGGCGGAAACCGCCGCATACATGGCGGAGGGGATAACTGATTCCGTCAGTTTTTGCGAACGGAATTATTGACAGAAGAAACTTGCTGTTCGCCACCTGTAGAAAGCCTTCGCGATATACGTAACCGCTAATCGTAGGAAAAGCTACGAAAACCCGCATCACTAGGACCGCGCGCGGCTCTGCGAACCCGAGTAGGAGGCCACCCCATGAACTCCGCACACCTGACAGGAACCCCAGTGATTGCGGAAGATTGACATGTTACAGGAACTGTCGATGGGAAATCCCGATGCATCTAACGGCCGAGAACAATCTTAGTGGGCCCACAACTGACGAGTTTCGCGGTGACGCGCAGAGCCCCCAGCAGATTCGTGTCCGCAAAGGGCCCGCCGCTGCGCTGCGAGGTTTTCTGTCTGGGCGTAGCGTAGTTGAATGTTTGCGCGCCCAACGATGCCGACATTCCGCGAGCATGATGTGTGGTGGGGGCAAGTTCGAATTGAGCCTGTGGCTGTTCAGTCAATTAAATTTATTCGGCTATCATGATCGAAGTGGTATAAAACTTGGTTGGGGTTTGCTATTTTAGCTAATGACTCTAACACTGCAAGTCAGATTTTAATGCCGATTGAGCCACATCAGTAAAACGCAAATCCGCTCCATCCATCCGTGCTTGACACTGGCCAGTACCGTTCCGCTGAGTCATGTGGTATGTTGGGCACATGCCACCAGCCAACTGTAGGAGATTGCAAGGTGTGAATGGGTGAGAGGTCAGTGAATACTAATACCAAAAGGGGGGCTATGACATGGGATGAGTGAGGTTAATGCAGAGAGCATAGCATAGAGAGCAACGGTCCTGGGGGGTGGAGAGGGATTGGGAGAAGGAGACGCAATATTCCCACCAGCCCGAATGCACTGAGCGCATGCATGTAAAGTCCAGGGCCTGGTGACGAGGGGAAGAAGAGGAGGGCCTGGGGACGGGGGGATAAAGAGAGGGGGGACGGGGGGATGAAGGGTGCAAGGGGGGAAAAGGGGGGATGAGGGGTGAACGGAGGGGGGATGAGAGGTGCGTGAAGAAGGGAATGAGGGGTGAACGGCGGAGGGGATGGGAGGTGAGTGAAGGGGGGAATGAGGGGTGAACGGCGGAGGGGATGGGGGGTGAGTGAAGGGAGGAATGAGGGGTGAACGGCGGAGGGGATGGGGGGTGAGTGAAGGGGGGAATGAGGGGTGAACGGCGAGGGGATGGGGGGTGAGTGAAGGGGGGAATGAGGGGTGAACGGCGGAGGGGATGGGGGCCGAGTGAAGGGGGGAATGAGGGGTGAACGGCGGAGGGGATGGGAGGTGAGTGAAGGGGGGAATGAGGGGTGAACGGCGGAGGGGATGGGGGGTGAACGACGGAGGAAGGGGAAGACGAACGGGAACGGGGGTGGGAACAGAGGATAAGGCCTAAACTCGAAGTCATGCTCTTGCATCCAGAAAACTCCAGAAAACAGTCCCTCCCCCTCGCACCCTCCCACTTATGTACTCCCTTCGTCTCTCCCCCCCGCTTCTTCCCTCCCTTCCCCTCCCCCCAGCCCTTCCCCTCCCCACTACCCACTCCCCCGCCCTCTCTCACCTACCGCGATCCGTCCCTTCCCTCGCAATTGACCGGTCGAGCGGTAGCGGACCCACCACCGCAGGTCACCAAGTAGGCCTGCGAGTCAGCGCCTCGTCTCCGCGCGCCAGCTCGACATTGTCGATGCGATAGGTTCAGGGCTGCGCCGAAATCTGCGCCGAAATCAGAGCACTAAAATGCATTTCGGGTTGAGGCAACGATAGGGCTAACGCATGGCAAGCAAGCATTTCGGAGTGAGGCGTACGATCTACGAGTGGCGAGCTCGCATGCTACTGCTGCTAACTATGGCCTCAGGACATAGATCTTAGGTACCTTACTGAGATCGATACGCCGGAATCGAAATCAGAGTCGCGACTAGCATAAGCCAAGAAATTCATCTCTGAGTCGCGACCAATATTAGCTATGAATGAGAATCTAAGATACGCCACGGAACTAAGATCTGACGTGACTGAAATTAGTTACGGATCTGTCTGTCCAAGCCACTACTATCGAGGATACGAAGCGGCACAAATAGTGCGGCGATTTGAAGCGGACAATATGGCATGGTACGAAGCTACGAGGCGTGACTAGCTATGGTACTACGAAACCAGTCTTGTCTAGCACTGACTATTCCATGACGATATGGGGGTGTGGATGTGAAGCCAAGTCCAGGTGATAACCTTGTGATTCTACCGCAAGGTGATGATGAGGGCACCTTTCCATCCCCATTAGTTCGCGAGATTTTCCCCCAGATATGCCATGTTTTTCATCTGCCCGAAGCGTGGTTTGCCAGAAGCAAACGAGCGGCAAAAGCAGCTCAGGTTAATTCAACTGCCCCTGGCTTCAACCCTAACTATAGCTCTCCTCACACATACCGTCCCGCACCTCACGCAAAACAATTGGTTTCCACGACGCATAAAAAAACTAGTGCCACGTCAACAACCTCCTAGGATTTCGTGCCTGCCCACGATTTCCTCACAAACTTGCCAGCCCCGCACTTCTCCCAACCGGACCCAATAAAAACCATTTGCGCTTAGCGAAACGAAACGTAACCAAAACAAATTCAACATAAAGAACACAAAAGTTAACCAAGTTTCACCAACACTCTACACCACTGTACACCAACCAAAACAGCTACAGTGAGGCTTGTCAGGGCTTGGACGAAATTCTCCGCGTGCGCGTTTCGGTTCGCCGCTGAACTGTATGTGAAGTCAAACATTCAACGGCGCGGCTCTGACATGGCGGCGAGGCACACCCAGAATGGACCAGCACCACCAAACCAGTCTCTCAAGTCCCGTCCCTGGAGGTCCTCCCCTCACGGAATTCCCTAAATAGTTGAGTCCCACTCCGTCATTTCTTTTTATATTCTTCCGTTTTGGAAGTTCAGAGAGATTCTAGATCCGATCATCCTCTTCCGTTGAGGTTACCTTGAGCGTTCCTCCTGCAACGCGGAGCCTGGAGGCGTTCCTCTGCGCCAACCCCGTCCTCCTACCATCCACCCGCTTCCTCCTCCTCTTACCACCTACCTTATTATCCTCCTCCTCTGGCTGCGGACCTCTCACAAAGGACCCCCCCCTTATAAACAGTTGGTAACAGCTATTTTTTTAAGGTAACAGCTATATGGTATGGTCCCGCGTGAAGTCTGCAGCTACCAATTCACCCATCTCCGCGGGCGAGCCGCTCAGCACGGTAAGCATGAGTTCCTTCCTTTAGCCTTTTCCTTTACCGAGTCACTAATTCTCTGTTGTTTTACAAGTGCAGGTCCATATAACTCCCAAGATAACGAAGGTCGGAGAATGGCCTTGACGAGCTTCGCCAAGGCCACGAAGACCCTCGCCGTCGACACCTTTCTCCATCGTTGGTGTCGGCGCCTGACGGCTCTACTACCTAAACTGTAAGTGCAATTTCCAGCTTTTTCTTTTCCCGGACAGTACTGACCGGTTTTTTTGGCTTTGTTTTTTTCAGCTGTTTGTGCAGACTGTAGAAGGCGTCCAAGTGAAGACCGTCGAAGATGTCCAAGTGAAGACCGTCCAAGACATCCAAGTGAAGACCGTCCAAGGCGTCCAAGTGAAGACCGTCCAAGACGTCCAAGTGAAGACCGTCCAAGACGTCCAAGTGAAGACCGTCCAAGACGTCCAAGTGAAGACCGTCCAAGACGTCCAAGTGAAGACCGTCCAAGACGTCCAAGTGAAGACCGTCCAAGACGTCCAAGTGAAGACCGTCCAAGACGTCGAAGACCGTCCAAGACTTACGACTGCCCAAGGGGGGCCTGTGGGGGTCGTGGGGGGGGATGGGGGCAGGGGGAGGTGGAGAGGCATGGCAGCCCCGGCCCTGTCCTCTCCATCGAACCCTCCCTCTCCCACTTCTCCTCGGGTCCCCACGCCAACGGCGGACCTTTGAGGTACTATCAATTTCGAGCTTTTTTGCTTCTGTTTTTTTTCTGTTTTCCCGTACTAACGTATTTCGGTTGGCTCTAAGATGCAGGTTTCGGCACGGGTGGAGGCTACGGACGTCATGACTCCCTCCTCTCTCTCTCTCTTCCCCTCCTCCCGCCATACCTCAGGTATGCGCACAAGGGGGAGAGGAGAATGGATGGGCGGAAAGGTTAAGTATGGGGACGGTACCTTACTGACGGCGTTACTACAGGCACGTTATCTAGGAAGATCGCAGGGCGTTACCTAGGACGGATCGCGTTACCGAAGGGCGTTACGTAGGACGATCGCGTTACCGAAGGGCGTTACATAGGACGACGCGTTACCGAACGGCGTTACATAGGACGGTCGCGTTGCCGAACGGCGTTACATAGGACGATCGCGTTACCGAACGGCGTTATATAGGACGATCGCGTTACCGAACGGCGTTACATAGGACGATCGTGTTACAGTAGGGACGGTCTCTCCTCGCGACCTCCTCTGCAGCTGCTCGTCACAATCACCATCGACCTTCGCCACTCTGCAGCAGCAGCACTCCCCTCTTCTCCCCATGAGCATGAGGCCTTCTTGAGGTGGTTTTCTGCCCGTAGCAGAACTAATAAATTTCCCCCTTTTCCCCCCTTTTTTCCCGAGCGAATGACCCCTACCTCATCGTGGTGCTCGGGTGAACGCTAGGGGCTTGCCCCTAGCGGCCAAGAGGGGTCAAGTTGTAAGTTGCAGGTTGAGAACAAGTGACCCGCTGGGGTTATGGTTGGATATGTAGGATATCTCTAGAAATTGTCTTGAGAACTACTCTTGTGTAAGCCCATTGTTTTATAAGTGGCATCCAAATTGTCTCCATGATGATAGCGGCGGTTTCAACTTCGTTTTCGTTCACGATCTCCAACAATCACTTGACACGCACGCAGAAACGTCGGACTAAAAGCTTTAGGTGTTAAAACAAACCAGGGTGACACAAGTTAAAAAATCTCCGCGAGCCGCTCACGAGAGACCAATCACAACTGTCCATGAACTCATGGAAAGGTCGATGTGACATTGAGCGCGGTAACGGGGGATTTGGTGCTGCGGATGTCACAGAATCTGACATACACAGAATCAGCTGTAGTGACGAGCTCTGTTCACTAACCTCGAGGATTCCGTCACTGACTGATTCCGTTTCTGTTTCCCTCCCAAACCTCCCAGTTTCAACCCAGCCCCACCCCCAAGCCAAGTTCTTGTATTGCCTACCAGAACCTCTTATTTCCTTCGCGCTGGTCCTCACCGCCATGTTTCACCACCATAGATCAGGCAATTCTTAGATAACAAAAAGAGTGGAAAATTATGCGGGAATCAACTATGCGGAAAGCAGTCCCAACTCCAAACCAGTGACCAGTCCTATCCCACCCTTGTTTTTTCTTCCATGCCTAGGCATTGGTCCTGCGTAGTCCCTCTTGTTTCTTCGCGCCTCTACCTTGTAACACTAGCGGCTTCTGTTCCTCGGGCAAGAGGCTCAATGTTATGAAATGAGCTTGCGAAACGAGCCTCAGCCAATTCCTCAACGTCATGGATCAGTCACTGCAAATATCCAGAAAGAAAGCAACGTCAGTACAGTAGGCTTTCATAGGCTGAAAGAAGAGCTTCCTTTGTGCCACTCCCCTAACCACTCCTTGCTCATTATTTTGACATAACGACAACCAATGTGTTTTTTAGAGTTTTTTGCAATGCCTAGTGCTGTTTGCCCTTCACAGGCGCTCTCGTTCAATCTGATAAGGGGTACGTTTGGTAAGGGGAAGATTTGCCATAGGAACGCGCCCTGGTTGCTTCCTCCCTTCCCAATATAGAATTTTCTCATTCACTGGGTACTGTTGCGTTGCGTGTACTCCTACAAAGTTGCATCAGAATCAACCCTGGTTGGACTAGAGCCTCAGGTCAACCCTGGTTGTTGGAAGTTGACATAGGGACCTTAATGCTGGAGACTGGAGCTGCTCCCACTGCTGCTGCTACTGCACCCTACTGGTATGACAATGCATTCATTCGTGACATGCATTCAACCACTCCTTCACACAGACGTTTTTACAGTTCACAATATAAACAATACACAGTGTTGGGCTGAGAATAGCCCTAGGATCTTTTTGTCAAGATAGCATAGATTAGGAGCTAGGCATAGGAAAGTAGCGAGAGATTTTAGGCTAGGAGAAAATGTCGAGAGAGAAGGGGTAGAGACTAGAAGAGAGAGGGATACAAGAAGGGGGTTGTACCCTCTACTGTAGGATCCAGGATATGCAGTACACCTATCCAGCCTATACATACATATATGTATATAATATATGTTGGCACACCCCCTAGGCTTGGTAGGCGATATGCAGAGAATAAACCAGGGCAGTACTACTAGCCTGACCACTATTTTTAGTAGTAATGCAGATTAAAAGAAAACACACCACACACACAACACACTAAGCCACACACCCCCTAAGCCTAGCACCCCCGTACTCAGCAGCACCGACGGCTTCTCCAGCATGGTCAACCCCTCGGCGTGCGAGGCGGTGACGTCGGCAGCGAGGGCAGTGGCTGCAACGGCGGCGACGGCGGCAGCGACGATGGCGGCGGCGGCGGCAGCGAACGGTGGCGAGGCCAACGGCACTAGCTGCGGTGGCGGCGGAGCTCGCAGCACTCGGCGGAGTGGCCTGACTCCGCGACAGTGAGAAGGCCCGCGCGAGTCAGCCGTCAGCTGCGGCAAGGCAGAGGGGACGCAAGGGAAGGGGGGCGGGGCTTCAGCAGCAGAGCCAGGGAGCGTGCCGCCCCGTGTGGCATGTTGGCTGCATGCGGGTGTGCTGGCCAGCGCTAAGACCGGGTGCTGGCCGCTGCCGTCCGTGCCATCCGTGCGCTGGCGCGTCGATGCCACCACGGCAGCACGACATGGCCGTGACGGCGGTGCGGAGAGGACAGGAGGGATGAGCGAATGTTGCGGAAGCGTGGTGAGTAGGCCCGAGTTTACGGACCTGCTCTGATACCATGTCAGGATAGCTTAGCTTAGGAGCTAGGCATAGGAAAGTAGCGAGAGGTTTTAGGCTAGGAGAAAATATAAAGAGAGAAGGGGTATGGACTAGAAGAGAGAGGGATACAAGAAGGGGGTTGTACCCTCTACAATAGGATCCAGAATATGCAGTACACCTACCTAGCATATATACATATATATAATATATATATATTGACACTTTTCATAAGACTAAGTCCTTGTTAACAGAGTGCTTGATAGCACAGCGGAAGTCTTGATAAACCCTTGTACTGGTATGTGAGAACAAGTGATTGATTATAGCAAAGGGATACAAATGTTTATATAATAATACAAGAGAATACAAAGAGTCTAACTGATTATGCACTTCGAGGGGTACATTTCTTTTACGACTCGATAAGAGCGACTCGGGTAACCACCCATGCTGTAATACCGTAACGTTTATTTGTCATTGCTGTCGCGCTAACTTGACTCTTGTACTTCTGAGTGTTGGGTTGTACGATCAACTGTCTGCGACCGTTGACCTTTCGTAACCTCTGCGAGGTATCGTCAACATGCGTCAACCAGGGCTTTCGGTTCACAGGCAAACATCCGGAATGTCAGGTACATTCTGGGTGTTTTGCGTTGGAACCTGGATTTTAAGAGGGTCGGTTTCACAAACCTTCTGACTATTTCATAACGTTTTCTTTCGGGACCCGAAGCCATCCGCATGGGCCCGAAAATCATCCTGACCGAAAACCACTTGTAATGAATTCGCCCTGAAGGGCTTCAACGTGGCGACAACCGCATCGTGATTTTCTCCCACAGTAGGTAGTTCTCCCACCATCCATCCAGGTTGTTCCCATTCGATTGCTACCGGTACTTGTGAACCCTCGCCCGGGAGAGTGCTGGTGTGTAATGGTGTGCGGCTAGTGTTTTGAGTGTCAGAAATCTGGTGCCGTATTCCCCCGTGTATAACACCCTATGGTATTGTCAAAATTTCATTAAAAAAAACGTGTGGGTGTTAACAGTAGGCTGGAAAAATATAAAGCCCATTTCATTTGTAAAATGCAAAATGAATTTGGGCTGTAACAAGCTCTATGAGAAGCATGAAACACAATGTAGCTTTTAGCGAGGTTTGGATGACAACCACTCACCTCCATTAGGACCAACCTATCAATTATGTGTTGGCATTCTTCATTTGTGGCCAATCGGAGTCAGCTGCACCTGCAACACGCTAGGGAAGCAGCCTCATACTGCTGACACAGATTCATTGACGGCCAGGGGGCCATCATAGTGCCAGCCTGACATCGACGTGCCAAAGTGCTTGACCAGATTTCTTTAAGGAATCTGGTAGATGGGACCAGCATGCATGGTCCCATCGCGTTTTCCAAGACCGTGCACGACTCGGCTTTGGGGGTCGGCCACGGTTCTTCTCCAACCTCTTCTTGCCGCATCATCATTCTTGCTCTTCGATCGGCTCGCTCACTCTCAAAACCTGTCGCAGTGCCCGGGCGCTATAACAGAGGCTCGGGCATTACTCAATGTCGCCTAGTTAGCACTGACATCTTTTCGTCTAGCATTCGATCCATGGCCACTCAAGCAGTTAGTGGTGTTGCCTTGTTACGACCTCATCACCCTCAGTTTGGGAACCAGACTTTGCTTAGGCCGTTCCCACCAGTTCCCCTGGCTCCAAGAACTTCTACGGCAGCTCCCGCACCTCCTGCTCCACCTGCCCTGCCCGCACCACCTGCGCCATCTGCTCCTCCTGCCCCACCGGCACCGCCCGCTCCTCCTGCTCCACCTGGTCATTGGTCGCCAATAGCCACTCGTCCCCCGGAGTGGGACAACGCGTGGCAAGATGACGATGACGAGATCTCCTGGGAGGAGGCCGCCGACGGCGAACCTGAACCTCCCCGACTGCTTCCTCGCGTTGTCGTTCCCCATTTCCCACAAGCACAACGTCGTCCTACCATGCCCAGGGTTAACCATAACGCTGCACCTCCCTCCCCCAGGGTTCGCAGGACGAATCGAAAGCAAGTTGCACGGACGGCTACCGAGAAGCTCTACTGGCTGGCTAAGATGGAGGCTGATCCGGATTTGTCCAAGCGCTCTCTCGCTCGCATGGCTGGAGTGCAGCCATGCCAGATTCGTGACTGGAAGAAAAACAAGGCTCGCCTCACTGTTGCTGCTGGTTGCAGGCGTCGTCTCATCGGCTCCAGAAGAAAGTCGAAGTACCCGACGATGGAGCGAGAGATTTACAAGAAGTTCCTTGGACACCACGCACGTGGGCTAGCTGTCTCGATCAGCACGCTGCAGAAATGGAGCCGGAAGTACATGAGGAAGCACCACCCCGGCGTCGACTGGCGTGCCTCCTCGCGCTGGACGTTCCGGTTCCGCGCCCGCTGGGGGTTGACGAAGCACGTGAAGACAAAGATGGGCCAACGCATGACCGCCGGTAAGCTGTCGTCCCATCTCGTGGTGGTCTTCCCCTCTTGCCACTCTATTTCTATGTTGCGTTCATGCGACACCTGTTACAGTCGATTGCGTTGCTTCCAGGCCGTTTAGTAATGATGCTCTTCTTTCTTGTATCGTGTCTTTTGATACTGGCAGACTGTGAAGCCAAGGTTGAGAAATCCTGGGAGTTCGTTCGGCAACTCCGCATGCTGAATGAGTACCCCGACGACCTGATCATCAATGCCGATCAGACGCCACTCTTCCTAGAGAAGCCGTAGGAAACCACCCTCGAGGTCCGCGGTTCAAGAACGGTTCATGTGCGGACGGCTGAGTACGAGAAGGAGAGATTGACCGTCATGCTGGCAGTCACAGCAAGCGGCAAAAAACTGAAGCCGTATGTCATCTTCAAGCAGAAA